CAGGGACAGACACAGAAATGTTACTGAGGGATCACAGAATTGTTACTGAGGGACACAGAATTTTGCTACTGAGGGACACAGAATTGTTACATGAGGGACACAGAATTGTTTACTGAGGGACGACAGAATTGTTACTGAGGGACACAGAATTGTTACTCAGGACAGACACAGAAATTGTTACTGAGGGACACAGAATTGTTACTCAGGGACACAGAAATTGTTACTCAGGGGACAGAACACAGAATTGTTACTGAGGGACACAGAATTGTTACTGAGGGACACATAATTGTTACTGGAGGGACACAGAATTGTTACTCAGGGACACAGAATTGTTACTCAGGGACAGACACATGAATTGTTACTAAGGGACACAGAATTGTTACTGAGGGACACAGAATTGATTACTGAGGGACACAGAATTGTTACTCAGGGACAGAACACAGAATTGTTACTCAGGGACAGAGACAGAATTAGTTTTACTCAGGGACAGAACACAGAATTGTTTATACTCAGGGACAGACACACAGAATTGTTCACTGAGGGACACCGAATTGTTACTGACGGGACACAGAATTGTTACTGAGGGACACAGAATTGTTACTCAGGGACAGACACAGAATTGTTACTGAGGGACACAGAATTGTTACTGAGGGACACAGAATTGTAGTTACTGAGTGGAACACCAGAATTGTTACTCAGGACACAGAATTGGTTACTCAGGGACAGACACAGAATTGTTACTCAGGGACAGACACAGAATGTGTTACTCAGGGCCACACAGAATTGTACTCAGGGACACAGAATCGTTGAATTAAAGAGTAATGTTCAGACAACACGCAGAGGAGTGGCAGAGGAGGCAATGTTTAGTAAGCGAGCAGACCGACGTTGGCAGCAGAGGAAGGGGTGGTCGAGGCAGCACTAGTCGCAGCCAGAGGCCAGTGCTCCCGGTGTCATCAGCGGTCGTGTGTCACCACCGACAACCCTGGCCGTCATCGGATTGGTTGGCTCGGTCAGTCTTCCTCTTCCCAGGTCGACCCTGACATCCTACAGCCAAACGGTCGGTGGGGTACGTCAGGAACACAACCGCGTTAGTTGGCATAGCCCAGGGAGCAACCCACTGAAATCAGTGTCCTCTACCTGCCCCTGTCCTTGGTGTTCCTCACCAAGCGAAGTATCGCATGCTGTGGGCTCAGCCCCCCCCACTGTACACCTTTGGTGAGGAGGAAGCAGCTAACAGAGGGCGGTCAGGAAACGGGGGAGACATCCGCCTCTTCAGCAGCAGGCGAAAAGAAGTACTGGCGAGGAGAGTGGCTCGTGTAGCCGGTCTAGAGAACAGGTCTGTCTCCTGACCCACACGCCGCCAGGCCGAAGGGGCTAGTAGTGAGGCGGAGACCCTAATTGATGATGATGAGGCTGATTGCATCTGGCAGCCTCGTCGTCATTCAGGCTATGCTTGCTTACCGCATCATCAGGAGAAGAGGGTGGCAGCTTGGCAGCGAGCAAAACAGTCGGTGGGTTTGCCCAGGAGGCAGCAGGGTCTCGCAGCAGTGTCAGTGAGGCAACACGGCCACGGAGTAGAGCACCAGCTCCACTGCAGCCTACCACCACGGCCAGTAGTGGTGCCGGTGTGCACGGAGGAAGTAGCAGTCAGCCAGTGAGGAGTATCGGGGGCAAAGTTTTCCTACCTCGGCGGTGTGGCAATTTTTCGTCAAGCCGCCCGAGGAAGTAAACGTAGCAGTATATGTCGACTTATGATGCCAGAAAGTCAAGCGTGGCCAGGGGGCCCATGTTGGGACTACAGCGTTGCGTCAGCATATGCAGCGTCGCCCATTTTGTGGCCTGGAAAATACCGTGTTGATAAAGATACGGCGGTTCTGCCTGCCCCAGCCCCCGCTCCATCACCCGCTCCGTTACTTGCTCCGTCACCCGACGTCCAATCGCCCTCTATCAGCCAGTCCCAAGGCTCCAACACCTCTGCTGAGGGGAGTGGTCGCTAGTTGGCATCTTCCGCGCCGCTAGAGTCAGTTCGAGCGAAACTATCTCCTTCTTCCTGCTACTTCCTCTTCACGGATGTTGTCATGCAGTCATCTTCTTGGAATCCGTTTCCTCCGATGAGAGACACCAGTTTGCGAGCACGCACCCTACGGTGCCAAAAGCCTGAACGTCCTCGCCTGTCCAAGATGCTGGTGTCTTGCAGTCCCTCGCTCTCCTCCCCCCTTCGAACGGGGATCCCAAGTGGTGGACTCAGCACCTTTCCGAGAAAATAGATGGCTTGTGCCACGCCGCGGTTGAGAGAGTGCCAAGCCGGCATTTCTTCGCCAAAAAGGCAGTGCCGAGCGGCTGCATTCACATGCAGAAAGAGATGGTGGGCCAGTCTTTGAGCATGGTCGGTCTCTAGCCAACGTGAACACCGGCAGCGGGCCGACGTGAGTGAAGCTGTAAACTACGGTCAGGGACAGTACATGTCATTTACGGACCCACTGGGGTGAACGTGGTGCCCGGCACAGCCCGCACCAGCAACTTGGACAGGTCACGCCGGCTTTTGCTCCACGTTTAGCCACGTCCTTGGTCCGACAAAAGATGTCCGCCCCTCTACCACCTCTTCTTTCCGCCCGTTGTCCGTCAAGCCGCCACCACCCGTGCAAAGTCCCATTACCCGACCCGGCATATCAACATGTGGCAGGGCACAAACGGTGTCTACGCTGTGCTGCAACCTGGTATGCCCTTGGCGAAACGTAGTCATCACAGGGAGAGGAACTTCTGAGTGTAATGATACAGAGAAATCGACAGATGGTGTCTCCGCGCAACTGAAAATCAGAACCAAGTTAGACCGACAACGGAAATGAACATGGTGTCTGCTCTGCGTCAAGGAAGGTTGTGCCATGCGCCATGCATGGCTCACGTGTTCAATCTGGTTGTCAAGGAGCCGGTTCCTAAAAATCCACCATCCCACTGCAAGACATCCTTAAAATGTTCACGTAAACTTTGCATGCATTTCAGCCATTCCTACACCGCAAAGCACACCCTCCTTGCTGCAGCTGCAAGCCAGAACGGAATTGCACAGCACTCGCCTGATCTGCGACGTTGCAACAAGGTGGAATTCAAACCCTACCACCATGTTAGAACCGCCTTTTTTACGAACAGCAAAAGGCCATCACAGATTTCCTGATGTTACAGCGGGAGCGGATAAAGGTACTCCCCTGTGTAACTTCGATGTCAGCCATTGGCAGCTCATGCGTGACACCTGCCGCTTGCTGAGGCCCTTTGGAGGAGGCCACGCTATTCGTGAGTCGGCAGGACTAATGGGATGAGCGAGACGTCATTCTCTGTTGCACGTCCTGGAACAAATGCTGTTAACAATGGCTGGTCAGGGTGCGGTAGAATGTGGCGCACAGATCTCAACGCCACATGACCCCTGTGGGGGGGGGCAGGACAGGAAGAAGAGGAGGAGGTAGAGGAGGACATTGGTGCTCAGGAATTATTGAGTGAAATGGGTGGGGGTTTTTCCACTCAGCGGGACAGGAGTGGAGGAGCAGGAAGCATCTGGTAAGAGGAGGAGGAGGAGACAGAGGACCCAGACGCCACCGTGGCAGTATGCTGTGGAGATGGAGGCAGGGAAGTCCCTCGCATTCCTTGGCAACAAATGGCCCATAGCAATGCTCGGTTGCTTGCGTAGCGACAGTCCGAAATGAATAAACCCATCAGACAGAGGGGATGACTTTTGGCTGTCCACCCTTGTTGGACCCTCGCTACCGTTCAAAAATGGTGCCTTTTTTCACACCTGCTGAGAGGGAGGCCAAAATAACGTACTATAAAAACCACTATGTAGTAAGTTGGTCTCTCTGGCCACTTCTGTGGAACCAGCGTCCATCCTCAGACACTGTGGGCCCTGTGCGCTCGCGTTCCGCTCGCCATGGCAGCAGGGGAAGGGGTGGGGGCCCGGTAGGTAGGAGCAGTGGCAGCTCCACCAGCAGCGGCTGCCTCAGTCTGCAGTCGAAGATGAGTAGCTTTCTTCACCAGCGCAGTGAGGAAACTACTAACCAGCCGCGCTGCAGCAGCAGCATGCAGCATCAGGTGGACCAGGCAGCAGGACCACAAACAACAGGCTTGGGCCTACTTGGAACAGCACCCTGCCAACCGAGGTAGACAATCCCCCTTGACTACTGGGCAACGAAACTTGGACCTTTGGGCCCAACTAGCTGAATTTGCCCCTTGAAAGGCTGTCATGCCCGGCCAGTAGCGTGGCATCGACGAGCGCGTGTTTAGTGCAGCAGGGAGGAGTATTGTAACTCCGCGGAGGACACGATCTGTCCACCCAAAGTGTGGAGAGGACTCACGTTTGTTGGAAAATGAATCAGGCGTGGCATTAGTCTTGGATTTCAAAACCACCAGTTCCTGACACAAACTGACTAAATCCGCCATGAATCATGCCCCCAAACATGTGCCACTTCAGGTCTCCTCACACTGCTGGTGTGTTCCTTTTTGTCATAGGGTTGCTGGCAGATTACGGGCCTCCCATTGCTGCTGCCAGGCCTGTAATCTGCCATGGGCCCCCTGTACCGCTTCCTCATGCTGCTGCCAGGTCCAGAGTGTCTCATGGGTCCATGTACGGCCTCCCCATTGCTGCTGTCCTCCATCGCCACACTCTGCCATGTGCCACTTTCAGGGTCTCCTCACACTGCTGGTGTGTTCCCATTTTGTCATATGGTGCTGGCAGATTACGGGCCTCCCATTGCTGCTGCCAGGCCTGTAATCTGCCATGGGCCCCCGTACCGCCTCCTCATGCTGCTGCCAGGTCCAGAGTCTCCATCATGGGTCCCTGTACGGCCTCCCCATTGCTGCTGTCTCCACATCGCCACACTCTGCCATGTGCCACTTTCAGGTCTCCTCACACTGCTGGTGTGTGTTTCCATTTTGTCATAGGGTGCTGGCAGATTACGGGCCTCCTATTGCTGCTGCCAGGCCATGTAAATCTGCCATGGGCCCCCGATACCGCCTCCTCATGCTGCTGCCAGGTCCAGAGTGTCTCATGGGTCCCTGTACGGCCTCCCATTTGCTGCTGTCTCCATCGCCACACTCTGCCATGTGCCACTTTCAGGTTCTCACACTGCTGGTGTGTTCCATTTTGTCATAGGGTGCTGGCAGATTACGGCCTCCAACATTGCTGCTGCCAGGCCCTGTAATCTGCCATGGGCCATACCCATCCCAATGCTGCTGCCCCTGGACGCCGCCTCCTCATGCTGCTGCCAGGTCCAGAGTGTCTGTCTATGGGTCCCTGTACGGCCTCCCATTGCTGCTGTCTCCATCGCCACACTCTGCCATGTGCCACTTTCAGGTCTCCTCACACTGCTGGTGTGTTCCATTTTGTCATAGGGTTCTGGCAGATTACGGGCCTCCTATTGCTGCTGCCAGGCCCGTAATCTGCCATGGGCCCCTGTACCGCCTCCTCATGCTGCTGCCAGGTCCAGAGTGTCTCATGGGTCCTTGTACGGCCTCCCATTGCTGCTGTCTCCATCGCCACACTCTGCCATGTGCCACTTTCAGGTCTCCTCACACTGCTGGTGGGTTCCATTTTTGTCATAGGGTGCTGTATGGCCTCCCATTGCTGCTGCCTCCACCGCCACAACTGTGGCTCCACACTCTGGTTTTGGCCCCGTGACTGCCCAAATGAGTGAAGTGTGCGGTGATTCTAAGATCGACGGCACTCATCTGCATGTCATACTGACTGACAGTATTATTTCTCTTCCCAGCAGACTCCAAGATCATTTAAATTAAAGGTACAGTGTTCTGCACTAATATAAAGGCTCTCTGAAGCCTAGAAACACACCCTTTTATAAGTTAAATTCGCAGCGAATATATTCGCATCGAATCAAATTTATTCCTCGAATTCGCCGAATCGAATTTTTGAATACTTCGCTCATCTCTAATTACAGTATCAGAGTCTTACGTGCAATTCCACCTTTTTCATTTGTGTTATTTTTGTAAATAAAATGATTTATCATACGTATAGCTCCTTGTACATTATTTGTTTGCCTCTTCCCAAATATGTTTGTGCTCGAATAACACTTCACACGTACAAAAAAAAAAAAAACACCATGCAATCAAGCAGTGTATACAGGAAGCTACAAGCTCCCTTTTTATTTTAATTTTGAACAGATAAATCACAATGTTTTCAATAGTATTTAAAAGACCAAAATATAGCAAAAAAGAAAAGTTAATTTTTAGGATTTACTGGTGCTTTAGTTTTTATTGATTATGTAGTAATTTCAATTACTGAGATATGTTTTACTTTCATATATACGATCGTGATAAATTGTTAATTGCTGCCTTTGAAATATCTTTATGTCAAATGAGCCTGCAAATGTAAGAAACTGAACATATCTGCAACACATTTCTCTCATCACAGTAAAAAATTAATGGAACATTCTCTGACAAAGTTTTCTTCTGGAATTTTTCATAAGCAGCAAAAAAGATCACCAAAATTCAGCAGCATTCCTTGGGTTGTGAAAGACCTAGGGTGCCCTTGCCACAGGGAAAGAAAAAAGTCCTGAAAAGTGGGCATGGATTAACAAGGCATGGTTGTGTAGAGACGTACCCCTAATTGCTGTACACACTGCAAAATATGCCAATGTCCTTAATGGATAAGTTCACCTTTTAGGCAAAAATAATAAATGCTAATTTTTTTACAGGTAAAAAAAAGTGCATTTATTATTTTTGTCTGCAGGAGCCTGTAAAGCATTGCACCAGCGATCAGTAGATTGCTGATGCCATGCAGGTCTCCTACAGACGTGTCAGAATATCTGCTTGCTGTATGGTATGTATGGCCAAGTAGATATTCTGACCTGAAGCTTCAATGAACTACCACGGCACTCCACAGAGCCGTGGTAGTTCATTGAAAACTACAAGCTCACAGCCGCTAAGGCTTTCGGGACTTGCAGTTCATTCATTCACAGAAGCCCGTGAATCAATGATGTGGCTGTGTGGGCACGGCCGCGCTGTTTTTTCAAATTTGACAGATAGTACAGGGAGACCCGTATTATTTCTCAGAGGGACGGTGAGTGGCGGTCGGTGGCTGCGGCTCTGGGAACATGTTACAAGTTCCACCCTAAAATGAGTGGAACATGTAGCATGTTCACAAAGTTGAACTTATCCTTTAAAGTGTTCCTAAACCCACAACAGTAAAATCAGTCTGTATATGCAGTAAAGCATACTTGTTATACTCACTGTGGAACCTAAGGGGTTAATCCTCTGCATTGTGTAAAAAGACTGTTTGATCCTTTCTTCTCTGCCCCTCTTTTTGAAATGACCACCTGATACAGACTGAATCCGTAGTCAGATGCACATGCTCAGTTTGGTGTGTATTGCCAGAGAGTTTTTTTTTTTTTCTCTTGGGAGAGTGCATGTGATCAGCACAGGGCCAGTCAGCACTGTCCAGATAGAGAGTCAAGGGTTTCACATTCTCCTAGAGCAGAAAGAAAACTCCTCCTACAAGCTTTAACCAGCGCTTTGCTGAAGTCACAAGACTGCTCTAACTGCTGATGAGAAAAGGTATTTAGCAGTTTATATTTGCTAAAATAATTGCAGTTGCATGTTGTGTGTACTGTGGGAGGCTAGATATAGTGAATGCAGGGTCCTGGGTTTATTATCACTTTAAGTATCATGACACAAGTGGAAGTATTTCTGAATTTTAATTTTTTGGGCCTAATCCTCAACATGGGCATTACTAAAAAAAAAATGAATTGTGGTTGCATTGGTCCACAGGCCCAAGTCATCATATGTCCGTGTTCTCTGCTGCCATGGCCAGGCATAGATATGAGAATATAATGTGTTTTATGCATTTCAATGGCAATACACTCTATTGTCCTTGGGGTGACACTGAATTTGACTGGCTCCTCAAAATTTGGCCCCTCATAAATCATCGTAACCAAAAATTTGCAGATGTCTATACTCTGCGTTGATGAGTCCCTCATTAATTTTTCTGGCCGCCTTGCATTCAAACAATTTCTCCCCAGCAAGCATGCCAGGTATGGGGTCAAGATGTATAAGACCTGTGAGAGGGAAAAGATAGTCAAATGGAGCCCCCTGGATGCCCAGACTACATGGGGAGTAGTGGCAAGATAGTGTGAGAATTGGTGTCATCCTTTTTCCATATGGGGTACCACTTATACGTGGACAATTTTTATTTAGGTGTGCCACTATTTAGACATTTGTACAATCTTGGAATTGGCGCCATGTGACCTAATGTGTGCCAACCATTAAAATTGGGTGGATACAGGGTGGTATATTCTAATGCTGGGCACACCACACACTTTTTCTGGCAGAGATTTCTTCTCTTTTTTTTCATTCAGCCCGCAGGCTGCATACAAAAAAAAGAATATAGCATATATACCCAACAAGGACCAGCAACGTACTGATACATCACTGGACTTTGAATGGTTATACCAGGATGATGCCTACAGCTGCAGGCATCATCCTGGTATCATTTTTTTCAGACAGCAATCGGCTTTCATGTAAAAGCAATGGGAGATGATGCCTTTCCTCCCTCGCTGCCTTCCACGGCCTTCTCAGGCAGTCCCGTGCCATCGGGGGAACCTGAGAATGCAGCCGGTGTTTCTGCCAGCTGACCATAGAGCTGATTGGAGACTGGAATGGTGCCAATCATCTCTATAGTCTAAGAGATCGGAAGCTATGAGCATTTCATCACTTCAGTTTCGCAGGATATAAACAGTGCCATTGGTAAATTGGGAAAGCATCTGATCACACCAATCTTGGTGAGATTAGATAATGTAAGGGCAGAGGAGATATCTAGAGTCTGATAGAACCCAGATTTTTCAAAAAAGAATATATGACAATGCCCATTGAAGTTATAGGGGATATTTGCATTCCCTGTAATAGCATTAAAAGTGCTAAAAAAATATGAAAGGGACAGTGTAAAAATAATAAAAAAAAAATCAAAATAACTTTAAAAAAAAAGCACCCTCGCTCCCCCTGCGTGTGTGAGCATTGATTCTGTGCCGGTGTGTAAACAGCAGTTGCGTCATGCATGTGAGCTATCACCGCGAACGTCAGATCAAGGGCAGTAATTCTAGCATTAGACCTCCTCTGTAAATCTAAAATTGTAGCTTGTAAAGGCTTTTTAAAGCGTTGCCTATGGATATTAAAAATGTATGCAGTTTGTCACCATTGCACGGGGCATGCATAGTTTTAAAGCATGTCATGTTTGGTATCTATTTACTTGGCATACCATCATCTTTTTATTTTTTACCAAATAATTAACCACTATATTGTGTTTTTGTGCATTAAAAGTAAAAAAAAGTGTATTTTTTTAAAAAAAAAAATGCTTTTGAAAAATCGCTGCGCGAGTACTATGTGACATAAAAAAATTGCACCTCAAGAAATGTGATGGGCAGTCAGAAAGTAAAAGCTGTGAAAATTCCATTATCTCTACCATAGTTTGTAGATGCTATAACTTTCACACAAAGCAATCAATATACACTTATTGGGATTTTTCTAACCAAAAACATGTAGCAGAATACATTTTGGCTTAAATTGATGCCAAAATTTCAGTTTTTTGGAAATTTTGTACTACAGAAATGAGAAAATATTTTTCTTTGAAATTTTTTTTTTCAAATTTTTTTTTGTTTATAGTGCTAAAAATAAAAAGTGCACAGGTAATCAAATATCACCAAAAAAAAATCTCTATTTGTGTTAAAAAAAGGACATACATTTAATTTATGTACTGTATTGCATGACCGCCAATTGTCAGTTAAGCTAGTGTATAGCAAACTGTATAGCAAAAAAAGGTGTAAATTGCAGTATCTATACCATAGTTTGTAGATGCTATAACTTTCACGCAAAGCAATCAATATACACTTATTGGGAATTTTATTTACGAAAAATATGTAGCAGAATACATTTTGACCTAAATTTATGACTAACTTTGAGTTTAAAAATATAGTTTTTCTTCAAAATTTACAGTCTTTTTTTTTTTTTATAGCTTGAAAAATAAAAAGCACACAGGCGATCAAATACCGCCAAAAGAAAGCTCTATTTATGTGAAACAAAGGATGTAAATTTTGTCTGGGTACAGCATTGCATAACCACGCAATTATCAGTTGAAATAGTGCAGTGCCGAATAGCAAAAAGAGGCCTGGTCATTAAGGGGGGTAAATCCTCAGGGTGGCAAGTGGTAAAAAAAAATAAAAAAAACATGTATTACATATTTTTTCTTTTTTTAAATAAATATAGAGCTAACATTTTGTATGAGTGCACATTAAAGCAGAACTTTACTCAAATACTTGGGAACTACTTGGCAACCAGCTATTGTTTAAAAAATGAGCAACAATCAGCCGAATATTATATATATCACCACCACTATTATACTGTATATGACAGCTTTCTGCTGTCAATGGTTCCCAATACCAATACCGGGTGCAGGTGTTGCAGAGTCCTTAACAA